TTTTTTTCCGGCTCCCTTTTAATTCATAGCCCTAACCTTGGGTAATCCAATTCCCCCATTTCAAAGAAAACAAAAAAATCAAACTTACATTTTCATTATTAATAAGAACTGTTACTACATTTCATAAATATGCTTTGGGAAGAATCTTCTTACAATCCATAAAAATGACAATCATCTCCTTTCTTTTCCATGTTCCTCTGTAGGCTGTGTAATGTCTCATAGATCTTGACGGTTTTCTTTGATGACGAATCTCCAGAGAAGAAAACATCAATCCTGTTCTTCACTTCAATCCAACTACACCCAGGGATTTTCTTCAACCCTTTTTCTTTCATTGTCACCCGCAACTTTGCCACTTTGTCCCACAATTCCGCTTCTCCGTACAAGTTTAGCAGTTGAACATAGTTGCTGCCTCTGCTGGGTTCCAGTTTTAATAAGTTATCAGCTGCAACTTCTCCAAGCTCAATATCATGATGTGTTCGACAGGCACACAACAAACTCAGCCAAATACTCCTGTCTGCTTCAATAGGCATGTTTTTAATGAAACTATAAGCATCATCCAAGCGTCCGGCACGCCCCAACAGATCAACCACGTTGACATAGTGCTCCATTTTAGGTTCAATTCCATACTCCACCTTCATGGATTGAAGTAGATTTTGCCCTTCATCAACCAGACCAGAATGATTGCAAGAAGAAATCAAACATAGAAAAGTCACGTCATCAGGTGTTATTCCAAAGCTTTTCATCTCATGAAACAATGACAATGCTCTGTCACACTCTCCATGAGATCCATAACCAGCAATCATTGAATTCCAAGTTACCACGTTTTTCTTTGACATGCTTTGAAATATATTCCGCGCGTATCTCAGAAGTCCGCTCTTGATATACATATCAATCAATGCATTCTCCACCTCAGTATCAGATAAGATCTCCTGTCTAATTAGATAACCATGGATGATCTTTCCTTTAAGCAATGCTGCAATGGAAGAGAGTGCAGCAAGAGCAGAAGTGATGGATATAGAATCCGGACAAAAGCCATGCTGAACAATTTGAGGAAACAGCTCAATCGATTTGTCTGGATGGCCATTCAAGCTGTAGCACGTCATCATAGAATTCCAAGCAACAAGGTTCTTATGTGGCATGCCGTAAAATACATTTCCAGCCATATCTGGGAAACCACATTTAGAATACATACCCACCAGGGAAGTAGCTACATAAACATCCAGGTCCAATCCACTTTTGATAGCATATCCATGTACCATGCACCCCAATTCTATATTCTCTAGTCCATTGCAAGCACTGATTACAGTTGACATGATATCAGAATCTGGTCTCAACCCATCGGCTTCCATTATTCTAAAAAGGTCTAAAGCCTCCTTGAATTTCCCATTTTGTAAAAAACCAGATATCATGGAGCCCCATGAAACAATATCCATTTCCCTAATTGTACTAAAAACTGAAGTAGCATCGTCAACACTACCACACTTGCAGTACATGGTCACCAGTGAACTCTTAACTGTGATGGTATTCTCTATAGGCCTTTTTACTAATTCTGCATGAAGTGACCTCCCAACATTATATATTCCAATCATACTGCAAGATGTTAAAATATTAGACATGGTGAAAGAATCTGGTGTTATAAAGTTAAACCTCATCTTTGTGTAGACTTCAAAAGCATCATAAGCACAGCCATTGAAAACGTAAGCTGAGATCATTGCGTTCCATAATTCAATTTCTTTATCTGGTACCTGATTGAATATCTTTTTTGCATCCTCTAGCAATTTGCACTTGCCATACATGGTCAAAAGAGAAGTATAGACATAAGGGTCAGTTTGAAAACCTATCTTGATGACATCACAGTGAACTTGCTTGCCAAAATTCACACTTTGACATTGACAACATGAACTGAGAGTAATAGTAAGGGACTCTGACACAATTTTGACATTCTCATCCTTCATTAATGAGTAAATTTCTAAACTCCTTGCCCACATCCCATTGGCACAAAAGGTTCCAATCGTCACATTCCAAGGCACCACATTGCTCTTATCTTCCAACTTGAGAAACACACACCATGCTTCCCTGGGCCGACTAAAAGTTGAATACATCTCAATCAATGAAGTCTCCAAGAAAGGGTCACCAAATAACATGCTCCTAACAATGTAACCATGAATCTGTTTCCCCTCCAAATATCCCAAAAAACGACCAGAGATACCAAGAAGTATACAGAGTGAGTAGGCATCAGGCAGTATGCCCAGTGATTGCATTCTGCGAAAATGAGAGATACCTTGATGAAAAAACCCATATCTAAAGTAACCATCAAGCATAGAGTTCCAAACAGTGGCGTCTGGAACTAACACTTGATTGTTGAGCAATGTATCGAACACATGGAGTGCAGTATCGAGCGACCCACATCTAACGTACATGCTGATAAGTGAAGAGGTGATAAATGGATCAGAGTGCAGACCCAACACAATGATTGTGGAATGGATTGCTTTGCCATAATTCAAGTGAGATGGGGAGACACAAGCTTTGAGAAGAGAGGGAAAGGTGAATGGGGCGGCAAGGGAAGGGGAACGGGAGTAGCGTTGCAAAGCTTCTGTGTATCGTCCCTGTCGAACCAGGGCTTTGATTTTGGAATTAAACAACGGTTGTGAAAGTTTGCGATAAACCAGCGGCGCGGTGGACATATCGGCATCGCATCGATGCAGTTTGCTGCTCCGGTCCGGTGGGACTTGCTCCAACCGTCAATAACGAATCATTGGAGTCGGAGTCGGACACCTACCAACCGTTGTCTGGAATCCGGATTTGCAATATTAGTCCTGTAGTTGAGCCCAAAACATATTTAAGTCCTCAAACTTTTAACCCAAATTAGTCAACTTCAAATTTGATAAATATATTGGGGAAGATTTTCCTTGCCAAAGCACACAGTAACTGTATATTTAGGTTGAAAGAAAGAAAGTGAGGAGAATTATATCAGTTTATTTTATTTTTTTAATTCTTTTATTTGAATAAATAAATAAATTTAACAAATATAACAAAAAACTTTCTTTTTCTTTTTTATCTTTCAACTTCTTTTTTTATAATTATTTATAAAAAAAAAATTTTCTCTCTCCACCCCTCCCACCTTTCTCTATTCTTCTTGACTTAAACATATTATAAAAGTACAAAGAGAAGTGGATAATGAAAATTAAAACTATGTAAAGTCATACAAATGTGTCATAAATCTCATATATATGTATATATATAGATATGTTTTGCACAACACAAGCGAAAACGAGGGGCAAAAACTTACTTTTTAGCTTTTTACTTTATTAAATTTGTAGGTTCTAACTTTTCACCTTATATTATGACACTTTTAGTCATTTACCTATTATAATAAAAGAAAATAACCCTCACTTTATAATATTTCATTAGTTCTATTAACTAATTATTAATTCTGTTAACTGACTGTTAATTTTATTAATTGAAAATAGGTTTTTGCCAACTAACAGTCAACTAACAATCAACTAATAGAGTTACCTTACTGGATTTGTAGGTTTTAGCCTCTCATCTTATACTATAACACTTTTAGTCTTACACCTATTATAATTAAAGAAAATAACTTTTATTTATAACATTTTGTTAGTTCTATTAACTGACTGTTAACTCTATTATTTGAAAGTAAATTTTTACCAGCTAATAATCAATTAATAACTAACTAATAGAGTTAACAGTCAGTTAACAGAATTAACAAAATGTTATAAATAAAGACTATTTTCTTTAATTCTAATAAGTGATGGGCTAAAAGTGTCATAATATAAGGTGAGAGGTTAAAACTTACAAATCTAGTAAGGTAAAGGGCTAAAACTAGGCTTTTGCCAAAACAAGGCGCTTATCTGTAACTCTCTTTTAAGTTGAGAGACTTACCCACGGATTATGGATTTTTGGTTTTCTTTTGGGCCATCACCATGGATTATGGATTTAAGAAGAAGTTCTAAGCCTGAATTTAGCCCAAGGAAGATTAATTATTGTAACAGCTTTTCTCTTCTTCTTCTTTCTTTCCTTTTTTTTTTTTTTGGTATAGAGATAACTATGGAAGACTTGAATTTTCTGCTTTGAATGGGTTGGTTATGCTTGAGATTTTAAATTAAAAATTTCAATACCAAATTTTAAGTTAAATAGGAAGAAATTTGAAAAAATAAAATAATTATTACCTTGTATATAACTTATTATTAAATATAAAAATGAAAAACTTGAATTTTCAGTAAGCCATAAAAAGAGAAACAAGAGAGAATAATAGTTGTTTGCTTGGCAAACTGAATTATGAATGATTTGGAGAAAAGGAAAGATCAAAAGCACCAATCACGCAAGCAAACACGCAAACGCAAAGCACCTACCAATGCCTTACCAGTAATACGTACAGAAATTGAATTTCCAGTCACCTCCGCCACCGAATATGCCTTCTCCTAATATCCCCACAGCACAAAACAATACCACAGTACCCAGCTATTAGGATTACAAAAAAATAATAATAATAACAACAATAATTGTTTTGTTTCTTCTTTCTTCCTTCTTCTTCCTTCCAGAGTCTCAACCAACCAGGTCAGGTCCACACAGCCCGGTCAACTTTCTTTGCTATTGCTAGCTCAATATAATTCATAATCACTAACATTTATGAATATTGGGTTTCCTTTTTTCTTTTCTTTTCTTTTCTTTTCCTATACAATTCATTCATTTGTTTCGATCTGCAGGCTGATCAGAGGGGCTTTGATGACTGAGATGGGGCACCGGAAGGGCAAGAGGAGTGGTGGATGTTTATTATGTTGGTCTGTCCCTTCTGTTAGGGCCAGCTCTGCGTTTAGAGGGCTTGGGAGGTGCTTGTTTGTGAGTTGTTACCCTGTGGTGCAGTGTTTTGGGTGGGATGACTGCAGGCACCGCCATCACCACCACACCTATTTCCAGTGATATATACATTTGTACCTCTGTCTTCTCTTCTCTTCTCAATATATAGATCTAGTGTACGTAAATTCTTTAAGATTGTGTTTTTAGTATGATATAATATAGGACCAAATCAGCAGGTACCTTCTGAATCAGCTAGATTCAAAATAATCAGCTGAGTTTTGTCTTTAATTATCCTTCTTCTATTCTTAAGAATGGAGTGGAATGGAATGGAGGAGCAGACCAAGGCTGCTTAATGATTCTGCGGAATCATGCTTTTGTTATAATTTTATTATTATCAAATGACTGAATTTCTTTCCCTTGTTAATTTGTTTCACAATTTGTTACTACTTTTTTTAGCTTTCTTACAATATATTCAAAAAAGAATGAGATGAACGAAAACCCCTGCCTGGCCCTCCCTTTTTGCATTTCATAAACAAGGTCTAAAGGTTATGTTTGAAGAAGAATATTTTCCATAAAAAACGCAGAATAATCTTTTGCATCAAAATTCCTCTCAGAATACTCAGGAGAACCATAGATAGACAACCAGATTTGATCACAAAAAATTTCTTGACAGTCGAGATTCTGCTGTTAGCGTAAGTTCAAGTCGTATCAAAATTCAAATCAAATGAAGTAACAGCAACACCATTTTGATCAATTAACATGACACATTGCATTTCATACTGTTGACATTTCAGCAAGTAAAAGCTAGAGCTGAGAACCCTGACCACAACTAGTAACACCCATCTATATGGTTTGATATATTGTTGTCATTATTTGATGCTTGCTCTGGGAATGGACGATGTACAAGGCCCAGCTGAAGTCATAAATGGAATTCCCTTGAACGTTGCCACACCCTTGTCATCAGTGAAGAGATGCTGCAACCATTCAGAAGTTGCATGGCATGAAACAGATTAAGAACCATTCACAGTGGCACAGTCCGTGCCCCATACAAAGTACAAACACAATAATAAGTCATGGAAGGGATCCACAAACAAGACATGGAAAACATACCGGAGTTATTTTCTCTAACTGCTTCTTTTTTGGATTCAGGATATCTTCTGGTCTTCCATCAATCCTAGAAGAAAAAGTAAAATGTCAAATACACTTGATAACCGGTCAAAATCACATTTGAAGCAACAAAAATGTCTCCAACCCAAATATTAGCAATTAGGCATGGATGATACAAATTGCTTTTTTAATTTTTCCCCCATTTATTTTAGAATTTAATACCATTCTACAATGACAGAAAATTAACCATCAACCACAGGTAACATTTGCCACATTCCCAAGCACGATTTTTCATGCTCTTAAACAGTGTCAAACAAAAGTTCTGAACTTTTGATACAACATACAAAAAATCAGAGAATGCTCTTTGAAAATGCACTGTACTTGTATATGAACATAAGACATATAGAGAGCCCCAGGTGTGCCTGGGAGTAAGAAGTACGTATGTTCCCCATTTTGGGTTTCATGGAATGGAAAATGAAATGCAGAATGATACCTAAAACACAGAATGCTTACCCAGAAAATGAAATGTGCTCCCCAAGTTTTGTCCCTTCTGGGGGGAGTAAAGGCTCAACAACAGAATGATCCTCATTAGAAGCACAAAGCACCTGCAAGCGAGGGAATTAAATTATACACATGACATGATAAAATTAAAACAACTCCATTGCTTCAAATACATAAGGACCAAAGCTATATTGAATATAACCTATTAGTGAGAGAAAATTGATTAGATTAAACCAAAGATTACCAGTCCCTCTGACATGACATCTCGTAGCTTTCCAGGTTTAACGTTTGTAATGAGCACAACGCGGCGGTTCTTCATTGCACAAGCCAAAACCATGGAGGACATCAAAAAGTAAAATTCAGAATCCAATGTATGCAGAAAGAATAGAGATAAACACAAGCTTTAATACATGAAATATATGCAATTCTTCAATGCTAACTCAAGAAAATACCGTTAACTGATCTGGACTGCAATATTTTGCCAAACCACTAACAACCTGACGCAATTTAGCCTCTCCAACATCTATCTCCTCAACCAGTAAACTGCACCATTAATTAATAAAAATAAAATGATTTAATTGATTTTGCTTGTACATGGTCCATATAGCAAATACAAGCAGAAAGCTAGCATGATCAGGCATTTTAAGTGATACAGATGGTTTTCTAACAAATTATAGATGGTTCTTTGGCAGGCATACCTATCAGCAGATGGATGTTTCCATGCTTTGCGAATGAGACCAACCTGTATATTTAGTAAACTAACACTAACTTCCTTATCTTTATCAACTGCTTCTGTTACAGGCAGTTTCTTCTTATCCTGAACTGCTTCCTTGTCTCCAATGGCCTTTTTCTTGAACATTCCAAATAGAAAAGCAATCAAGGTTATTGTGGAAGAATTGCACCCGCATGAGAATCTAAAAGAATTCTAGACAATGAAACTTAGACAGAAAAAAAAAAAAAGAAAAAGGGTAAGGAAGAATGTACCCCAGCATCACTTTTCTTTATATTCGGGTCTGCTTCCGATTTGTCAGCACTTTTAGTGCTTTTGGTCGTATTTTTCACATTTGGATCTACTTCTTGCTTAGCTGTGCTTTTTGCTCCCTGCAACTGAACCAAGAAAAGAAAATAAAAACTCATGCACCAACATGCACATACGAAAGTGGCTAACTCCTGCTCCTAAATCATAATTGTCAGAACTTGAGGGGAAAAAGAAAAAGAAGAAGGAATTCCTTTCTTTTTGCTTTTTTAGGTAAGGACTCAGGAGGGTGAGGGAGCACAGCTATTTCTTTTGTCTCCACTACTTTTAGTAGTAACCCCAAGGTCACAAATGGAAACCAAGGAATTACTCAAAGGTGACTCACCTGAGGCTCAAAATCAGGCTTCTCCAATAATATCTTTTCAAAGAATTCATCAAGACCTTCCTTGTTCTGCAAAAGTTAAGAGGTCAACAAGGAAAGGAAATAAAAGAGTTGATGACATGGGAGCAAAATTCCAAAAGAGGCACTGCTTTACATGATGAAGTTGAATAAATTAATTTTATGATTATCAATTTATAAGAAATGGACTAACTACCTGGATGTAATCCATCCATCGCATAAGATGTGGGAATTTTTCCTTGTCAGAAATTGAAAGGCCAACCTAGCAAACAATCCAGCACGTATAGGCATCAGATTTCATAAGTGATTCCAAACTCCAAAATAATAGCACCAAGTTTTGTTGGTGACAATAGAGATAAATTTGGCACTTGAGTTCCTACATCTTCAACTTCAAATACATAGAATAGGAAAAAGAAGTAAAGTTGATACCACGGAAGGATGTAGCGCTGAAAACACAGTAACATCAGCTTCAGAGGGTGTGAATCCACAGCCCAAAATTACAGACTTGTGACCCAAATCAGCATTTAACTCATTCAGACTACCCAAGCATGCCTTAGAATCTGTAGGAAAACTCTCCGCAAAAGCAATCCACTTCATAACCTAAAATTTATAAAGGAAAAAAACACATATATATAACTTATAGCCATATACAGGCAATAGGCAATTACAAGCAAATGGCAAACACTGTAACTCCTATTATAAGCAAAGTTAATTTTTTCAAAGCGCTGATTACTACAAGTCCACTAGAGATGCTCCTACCTTGCAGTATGGATAAAGTGTGTGTCTTTTCCTTCTTTGTTTGAACGGCAAAAAAGAAAAGCTTGAAATTGTAAGAAAGAAAAGGTTAATTTACCTGGTCATTGTTTTTGGGTGATTGACTTGCTGATGAATTGATAATTTGTGACCAGAGAGCCTTAAAATCAGTCTCCGCAACGTCACCCAAAAATGCTTTCTATAAAACTCAACATTTCCACACACAAAATAATCACCCAAGGGCAAGGCCGATCCTCCAAGGAAGATACGAAGTGAAAGTGAATTTTACTTACAGGATCGAGGGACAAGTGTTTGCACAGAGAGGATACTATAGCTTGCTTCCGCTTCACATTTGCATCCATGGCTTCTGCTTTTTGCTTTCTTTCCTTCTGCCAATTCCAATTTCCAGAGACGAAGAAGCTACCAGCTGCATAGGGTTTCCATTTTCACCTCTTATTGCTTCCACCCAGCCCAGCGTATCATTAGCCCACAATCAAAGTGGTGCAAACCCTGGACCTGAACCTGAACCTGAGCCGGAAGTAGACTGGACTCGACATGACATTACCCAGGAAAACAGAGTAACGAAGCGGCCCAGTAATATAGTTGTCCTGTTATGACTTGAACGACATCGTAAAAGAAAAGTTCCTGATTCTGCTTCTGCGTCCGCCACAGGAACGTCGACGTTTGTCCCTGAAGCAGTAAAAGTAAAAGCAACCAAACCCTCTGCTTCCAATTCCAAAATCGATTCCTCAATTTTTCCAAAGCTTGCCCGCTTTCCCCAACTAAAATTACCCATGTCCTCCGATGAAATCTCTCTGCACAACGGCCTCAATGTCTTCCAAGATGACCCGTTTAATTGCGCCACCGCCAGGCCCGTCCCCGGCCCCGCCCCAGGCCCCAAGACACGGGACCTTACCGCCTTCATCGATGACAAATTGTTCTCCTTTCCTGCTTCCCAACCCACCCAATTTCGACCTGGAAACATCTACGCTGCACCACCTGACCGCCAGCCCCGGCGCACTTGGGGAAACGGAGCCCCCCACCATAGCGGCGACGAATCCGACGACGACGATGACGAAGAAGAAGATGATGATGACGACGACGGTGATGATGACGATGGTGATGGTGATGGGGAAGAAAACAATCATAACATAAGTGTCAATAGTAGCAGCAATAACAACAACAGCGCCGGTGAGAGTGTACATGGGGTTGTCCCTGTAAATCCCGATAAAATTGGAAATGGCAAACCAAAGCTCCATTCTTCCTTCGGTGAGTTTCTTTTGAGCCTTGCTCGCTTTGGAAAACTTTTATCCTTTTTTGTTTTCAAATATCGTTAAGAGTGTTGTTGATGTTTCTTTTAAGTGGGAGGGAGCAGAGAGGTGGCTGTGAAGGATGGTTGTAATGTTGGACAAGTGGGGAGAGAGAGTAATTATCAGGATACCGTGACAATTGCAGAGCCAGATGGGGATATTTATTACTCGCATTATTTGCATGCTGTGGATGGCTCTGCTGCTGCTGCTGCTGGTGGCGGTGGTGGAGGAGGAGGAGGAGCAGGGGGAGGAGGAGGAGGAGGGGAGCAGAAGGATGCTGTTGTAGACAATGGTGGTGGCTGTGGGTTTAGTGGGAGGAAAGAAGTGTCATTTTCATGTGAGTCTGGGGAGTCCCTGCGGGCCATTTTATCAGACCCTGTCTCGTAAGTCCCTTTTTATATGTTTAACAACAAAGAAGTTGACATGATCTCATACACTCATACTCAGTGCGATTAAATAAAATAATATCCTGATATCATGTGATTTAGGGGAACTCTCATGGATGATGCGATGATATTACCTTGTGGACATTCCTTTGGAGCTGGTGGAATACAGCATGTGCTGAGACTGGTGAGTTTTCAGCAAACCATTTTTCTCTTTCGGAATGAATAATTTTAATGTTCATTGTTCTGTCTAGTGGACAAGTAATAGAGTGTATGGTGTTCTGATGAAGTTCATCATGAAAAATCAAAGTTTTCTACATAATTTAGTCTTCACTATTACCTCAGATGCATGTAGGGTTCTGGTACGGTATAATCATAAAGATGTTTGCTATTGAAAAAGGATAAAATAATATGGGCTGCTGTCACCAGTCTGTCGATGATATTTCTGTAAATTTATGAGACATGTTTTAAGCTTGTACCCCAGCTACATTTATCAGTGGTATGTTTCTGACTAGTATAGCTGTTCACTTCAAACTCTTTATCCTTTTTGGTTTAAATACTGCTTGAATTCCATTGTTTTAACCATAACTGATGAAAAAGACAAAAGAAATTATTATTGTTATTATTATTATTACTACCGCCACCACTACTACTACTACCATTCTGGCTGCCTCTCCCATTCCTATGCTTGCTACTGTTGCATTATTATTTGTTTGTGTGTGAGTGTGTGTGTGTCAAGCTTTCTGCTTTTAAGTGGGAACTGTGTTAACTGTGTAACCCTAGATAATTGCTATGACTATGGTTGTGACAGTATATTCCTTGTTTTTATTGCAATGTATCATCAGAAAGCCTGCTTCACCTGTTCACAGTCAGTCTCAGAAGACCAAGTAGCTGCAAATCTCTGTAAGTAGAAATTCCATTGCCTCAGGAATAAAAGCTATTTACTCTACCTCTCAAGTTCATATTGAAATTTTAAATAAACCATCTGTTTTGATTTGCTACCGTGACTAAGTGATTAGGTTAGTTATTTGCTACTATTTCCCTTTTCTTTGTTTTGTTTTAGATAGCCCATAGCCTGTCCTACATTTCCAGGTTCTGTCCCATTGAGTTACACAAAGCATATGATTCCTGAATTTGGAGTGGAAGTCTAAATATGCGAATTCCTTTATATCATTGGAGAAATATCAAATTTAAATGATTTAGTGTTAACGATGTCTGTGTTTTATATTATTCAGTAGTTTGAGAAAATTAGATATTCATTGGGCTGGTCTATTCAACAATCAAGGCTATTGAATGCCACTAAAAGTTTTGAAATCATTTTGATCATTTATAAAATATCTACATTTTGTATTTGTATTGAGGTTCAATATATGATTTCTTTGTTTTATTTCTGTTGCTGTTGTACACATACAGCTCTCCGAGCTGCAATTCAGGCATTTCGCAGGGAAGAGGAGTTACAGTCATACCGCTCATCTAAAAGGAGAAAAGAAAGAGCTGACCAGGTTTCTTCTTTTTTTCACCCTCATTCTAATGTTGTTTGTAAAGATAGGAGCAAATTTGTAAGCCAAATTCCCCTCTTTTTCTTCCTTCGCCTATTTTCAAAAAAAAAAAAAAAAAATCAATAGTTTTCATTTGTAATTTGACATGGCCATCCTTTGTTGCTCCATTATGTCGTCTTGAATTCTCTTCCAATGCTCTCCTGCCCTTTTGTATTAAATTTATATTGATGTAGGACAAGAGTAGCTATGGTGATTCAAATCTTATGGATAATCCAAGAGGTAGAGGCGTACAATTTCCATTTGCTGTGATGGACAGGGTCATCATAAAGGTAATTCCAATAAAGGTCTCAAATTTTCCTTGCAGTTGCTTCTTTTAATAGTCAGTTAGAAGGTAATAATTTGGTTGGAATTTGAATTGAATTAGGGAAATAAAAGGACACCACAGCGGTTTGTTGGACGCGAGGCTGTTGTAACAACACAATGCTTGAACGGATGGTTGGTCACTTTTCTATCTCTGTTGATGTTACATTAGAAACTGGTTTTAAGTTTTGTTAATACTTTTTTGTTGAAATTGACAAAATTCGTATGATGACTATTTCTGATTTCCCCATCAGAGAATGAGTGAATAGAGAGTAAAATATGCAAGTCTCATTTTGCAGGTATGTGGTAAAGACACTGGACAACGCTGAGAGTGTTAAGTTGCAGTATAGATCACTGGCCAAAGTAGTAGATGATCCATCCTCAAAGCCAATGTCAAGTAAGATGGCACCAAGCTGGCTGTAGAGCTGTAGAACGTTGTTTTTGATATGTGCCACGTTTTACTACCTAAATCTAACTCCCTTACAGTATATTGTTGTGCTTGTGCGGACCTTGTAAATAAATAGGGAAGATGTTTGAGGAAGCTTAGAAAGAAAGACACGAGGAGAGATTTTTGTTCCTTGTACCTGTCTTTGTATTATTAGACATGAAGCTCTGTTTAAAAAATGCAATCCAAACTGCTTTATTTTATTTGAGCAACTTTACTCTTAAGCTTATGACATTTGCTGAACCAGAATGCCATGTGTTTAACCTTAAAGTTGCATTGCTTAGACATGATGCAAGTTTATATTTCCAGTTCTGGTGTTACAATTTCACAAGTCAGCAAGGCATTATCAAACCAACAATGTAATGACTGGTTGGGAAATGCACAATAAGGACTCGAGCTAGCATTAGGAAAGAGAATAAGAAATATAATTAGTTGGCTTCAACTCAGTGGCAGACTGACAGCAGTTAGTAAAATGAGAAACAGGATATATTCTCCTTTTTTAATAGAAAATTGCAAGTTGAATAAATGGAAACAGCCACCGCCTTGACAGCCAATTCCTTCTGTGAGTCTGAGGAATCTCCCTTCTCTAATCTGCAAAAGGAATTACCAAACCTTGTAAAATCATCCATTGATTGTCTGCTCTACTAATAAAGCTAAATACACAGCCAACTATAGTTGAGATCAGCAAAGAACAATGTAGGAAAAGCAGCAGTATAGAGTAGGAGTCGTGTTGTAAATAAATTGTAATAATTGCAAAGCCATTTTCAGTAAAATGTCTTCATCCTAAAGTGCGTGTTCACGGGAAAGTACAAAATTTGTGCTATCACATGGAAAATCCATTAGAAGTTGGCATACACATTAAATTTAGTAGATGAAGTAACCAACTAACCTGTTGAAATCTTAAATATGGCTCTCTTGAACTAACAACCATGGTGATGGAACAGAACCACAATCAGAAAGAAAAAAAAAATAAAAAAAAATAAAAAATAAAAATAAAAACCCATACTTGCTCTCAAATTATCGATACCCCAAGCTGTTGTAAGCCATAAATCATGTTCTCTTGTATATGATTCAGCCCAGGATCACAATGCACTTGCATCTCTTCTACTTGATACAACCAACCTTCCTGAAGTGTAAAAGAATGAGCCAATAAAGATTAAAGGCCACTTTTTATAGACATTAATACATATTCTACTCGAGAAATTCAGAATGCAAATAAAGAAAATGAAATTTTAAGAGGAACCTGAATTAGATAGAAATTATGAAGAGAGGAAATACAATTAGATAGAATAGTGAATCAAAATTACTTATGTATTTCTTTAAATCTGAGATGCACATTATACTAAAATTCAGGACACCACCTGGTTCCACCTTACCAAGAACCAAAAATGATAATGAAAAACTTCTCAATTTGAAGAAAAATTCGAGCCCCTCAGCATTTCCCGGGGGAATTTCACAATCTGGAATACAAAAACAAATTCTTAAAACTGAAGATAAAAATGACAGTTTCTGATATAATACTCACGAGCTGTTTCTCTTCTTCAGAAAGTGCTTTATCCATCTGATCAAACAGTGCATGTCAGAGGTAGTAGCATTTGTGGAAAATCTATCAGTAGAATTTTGCACAGTACAAGGATCCTTCTCCTGGTTAGAGAACTCTTTTGCTATTAGAAAAGGTAAATCTGTTGCAATTATATCTCACACTCTCTCCTTGCTACTCCATAATGCTTCAAGTACTTAGAGAAATAAAAAAACATCTGAGTGCTAAGCACAGGGCCTAGTCTCATAGAAGTCTAGCCTAGGTAATAACAATTTTATGAAAGAAGTTTACCTGAAAGGCACCCTTTAATATCTTGTTGAAGAAGTTGCAACCACTGAGATGCTACGGAAGCAGCTGGAAAATATTAAGTATTTCATTATGATATCAGTTGAGGAATTGTTTGGTGAGTTGTCATTGCATAGATGTCATATTTACCAGCTCAAATTCAAAGATATAAACCAAGTTATAAACCCAAATGGCTTTGTTTATAGCACAGAACAGAATATATAGCTACTCAAGTTTCTTTATGAATAGACAGAAAAATGAACAAAATTTCCTAAAAATTTGACCATATTGTGAGATGTTATGAGTCATAGACATACATGGAAAAACAAACAAATATAAACATGGATCTGCTATTTTTCCGTCCACACTATTCTAAACTGTAAAACAAAAACCTTTGGATAGGGGGAGGGACTCAATAGCAAAGACCCTTATCTCTCATCCAAGAGTCACGGTTTTACCGTCTGGAATAATCCAGCCTGTAAAACAGTTTTTCCCATAAACATATTAAAGTCACCTTTAACAGAAAGAGAAAAATAAGCAGTGGTAAAATTTGCTGATTCCTCATTAGGTGAGGAAGACAAGTTGAGGGCTAGTGTTTTACCCTCACAAACAACTTGATCCATCATCATGGTCATGGGGGGTTGAGTCAGCACTTTGGTCTAAATTTGAGGAACATGATTTCAGCAGTGGAGTCGTACATGCTCTTGCAGAAAAGGTATTAGTTTTACTTGGAGGGCAACATTGATGAGAGTTTTAGTGTTTGGGTTGTGATTCAGAGTTGAGCAAGGCCTCGTATTATATTGAATGGACCTGATTCCTATTTCTTACATGGTTTATAATCCCCGAGGTTCGATCCATTGAGGAGTCCGGTGGTAGCAGCAACGTTGGTGAAGCTATCAACCTGTTGTCTCTTTGCAAGCTCCATCTTTTTCACATGATCCTTGTTACTTTTCCTCCCACGTCTCCCACAGTGAGAAGATGAGACAACACTAGTGTTTTGCACAGATACAGATATGCCTCCACGAGAAGACGATGATGATGATAGAAAACCATTTTGCTTCTTCTCCTTCCAAACTCGTAAAGAATCTAATTTCTTACTATCACCATAGTTAGTTGGATTGGCAATGGTAGAGAAGCAAATTTTAGCATTTTTGAGATCCAGAGGTTGAGTAAGCAACTAAGCATGGACATCTCTTCCTACCTCAACTGTAGCAATTCATGAGTAGCTTCTTCGGCTTCACCTTCACCTTCACCTTCACCTTCACTTTGGTTGGTTTTCAAATTCAGAGAGTTTGAAATCCGAAAAGTCATATCTATGGCTGAAAATGGAATAAGTTTGATCGAGCTATAAAAATCACTATTTGTTTGGGCAGCTTCGTAGTCCAACGTTGAAATCCTTGGCTGCTGCTACACCTAAAAAAGCTTGAGGATGTTTTTTTTTTTTTGGAGAAAACACTCCAATGCTAAAGTCAGTAATACTCAATATTTTAGAGAGAAACGCTTTTAAAGAGTAATTGCAGAGAAACGCTTTTAAAGAGTAATTGCAGAAAGAGAAGCGTAAAAATTAATTACCTTCATTCTGGTAGCTGGGAGTATTTATAACCTCAAATGCTGATATGTATCAATACATGTAAGCATTTCATTGGCTCACATGGTACTGTCTACGTGAGTATGTCTCCTCCTTTTGGACCTGTGGGTGCATAGTTTGGCTTGCTCAAAGCGACTCAAAGCGGGTGTTGGACCTAATCCTAACACTATTAAAATTTAACGTCTTATAAATCAAAAAGAAAATTCACAATCGAATGGTAATCGATAAGCAGATTTAAAAAACAAAAAAATAAAATCCGAAGGAAAGACGGAATCAAGAGCTAATCCAACCCAAAACGAATGCGAGTAACATGTCAGAAAAAAAAAAAAAAACCTTGGAATGGGATGTGTGTATGGCATGAGTGGTGAATGTGAATCGCCCTCGATCTTCCATTTCAATTTTATTTATTATTAGAAAATATTTTTTAATATTATTTTTTGATATAATTTAAAATATTATTTAAATTATTAATTTTTTTATTTATATTAAATTTATAATATTAAATATATTTACTTATTTAATAATATATAAAAATTATATTAAAAAATAATATAAAAAATTATTCTTATAACACTATTTTTATTTTTTAATATTTTAAAAAGAGAGAAAAAACTATGTGATGGTAGGGATGTCAACGGAGCCCGTAGGGTTGGGAAGTACCTCCCCATCCCCGTCCCCACGAATGGTGGGGACGGGGATCCCCGCGGAGATTTTTGACGAGAGGCAGATTTTGCCTCTCGGTCCCGTTCCTTACGGGGGATCCCCATTCCTCACCAATTAATGACAAGATATCTATTTTTTGCATCAAATATAAATAAAAATTAATTTAACACAAATAATTAAATCAATAAAATTGTTCGGCACAGTGCAGCAAGCAGAGAGCAAGTCCAGCATAGGCAGCAAGTCCGGCGCAATGCAACAAGCAAAGAGGGGTCCGGCACAGTGCAGCAAGCAGAGAGCAAGTCCGGCACAGTGCAACAAGCAGCAAAGAGCAAGTCCGGCACAGTGCAGCAAGCAGTAGAGAGCAAGTGCAGAGACAGAGTTCAACAATCAGCAGGATGAACTCCAATAGATCTGCAGGCTGCAGCTAACAGCTTTGACAGTAGCTCCAGGAGCAGATCTGTAACAGCTTCAGCAGCATATTTGTAGCAGCTCCAATAGCAGATTTGCAGTAGATCTGTAGCAGCAAGAAGGGGAGAGGAAGGTTGAAGGTGAGGTGAGACTTGAGAGCTTGATTGGCCAGCTGAAACCAAGAGTGAGTGAGGGGCTGTCTACGACGGGAGTGAGGACTGAGGAAAAAGGGAGGGGAAATTACCAAAGTTATGAAATTAGGGTTGGAAAGGGGATTAATTAGGGTTACAAGTTGTAAGGAGGATGTTGGATTGTTGGGTTGGTCGGATGGGTTGGCCGATTGGGTTGGATATTTGGGTTGGATTGGATTGGGTTCGGTTGGGTTGGGTTTGGTAAAATTTAATTTTTATTGAATTGGGTTTGGGTTGGGTTTAGGTTTTATTTTAAATATTAAATTAAATTTAAAAATTTTTTTTTAATTTTTCACGAGATGAGGATCCTTGCGGGGCCCCGCAAAATTTCACGGGGAGAAAATCACCCCATCCCCGCCCCACAAAAAAGAATATTCTTTCTTGCCTTGTCCTCGTGATGGAAATCTCCGTAAGGCCTCGCGAGAATCGGGGGAAATTGCCACCCCTATGTGATGGTATGGAAGCCTGGAAGGCAATGAATGGATTGGCATCATTGCCCATTGGCGGCTGGGTTAGTGTTGAGATTTTTCATGCTGAAGAAAAAGAGGGAAGGAGTTTAGTTTAAACTTCATTCAAATCCTAGGCTGCCCGTCCATTCCCCTTTCCCACGCTTATAATCTACCCTATGTCCTTTGGGCTCTGCTCCGATGACAAAAATGGTTGGGCGTTCAGCCTGCCAGCCAACCAGTTATTGGGCCTCAGCCTGCCACAATTTTCCCTTGTCGGTTTTGCGTATTTGTGTTGTGTCTCCTTCTTTGCTGTTCTTTTCCAAATTATGACTTGAGCTATTCCACCCGGGAAGACGTTAGGCTAGTGAAAATCAAAAGTGCAATGGGGGGGCCCTTTGCTATTCTTTTCTAGAGTATTCATTTTTTTGAGATAATAAAGATAATGATATGAATGGATCTGAAATACAATAGTTTTGGACTTCAAATTGTGGATCACGAACAAAATTGACAATATTGTCAGCTTGGTTTGATTTGATTTTTGCCTTCAATTCTCTCTCTCAAAGGCTACCAGGATAATATCATTTTTTATTTAAATATTATGAATGTAATTTTTTAAAATGAAATTTTAAATTCAAGCTTCAAAAAAAAAAAGTTAGACATGATTCAACTCTAAAAAAGCTGCCACCGTGGCTGCAGTAAAGGTGCCAGTTAGGGTTACGGAACAAGTGTGAGGCTCAGAAACCTTACAAATTAATTTCTGATTCTCACATTCCTTCGTGTGGCTACAGTAGCAACTAAGTTTTTTTTTTTTTTCTTTTAACAGGACAATAGTTAAAAAATTAATATGAATTAATTGTTAACAATTGAAGATTTAATCCTCAGATCATCCGATGAGGCACGCGACTATTAAGTCGTTTTTTGTGAAGTTCACGATAATAATAAAGCTTGAAACTTCGATCACCAAATACTTAAAGCAGTAGCAACTATGTTTATTCGAGAAGTAAGTGGAAAGCTCTTCAGGTTCGCAAATCGAGTCCCCAAACTTGACTTTTTTTGAATGGATATTAATTTAATACTGTAATTTTTCTTGTAAAAAAAAAAAAAGAAAGCTTCTCAGGGGCAGTAAATTAATGATAACTAAACTCTTAATGCCAAGGGTACTTGGAGGAATTTTAGGGTAACTTACTATTAAACTCACCAATTACTAATTTAGAAAATAAAGTGCATGCAATAATCGGCTAACCTTCAAGTAGAGTAATTTGTGATTCCAAATTTCTGTACAATATAATACTCCAATGTAAATAAACAAATAATCAATCTGATGGATGGATTAATGGATTGGAAATCTTATTTCATTTCACTGTGCCTGCAACAGCCAACAATTCTTTAGCTGTGACATCACCGTCTCCCTGAAGCTCTTCACCCTCACCAGGCAGAAGTGCGTGCACCACACCCCCATTCCCGACCCCACCCGGTTCGTCTTTAGCAGATAACACGCCCGACCCTGACCCTGGCCCTGCACCACGATCCCCCATGCGTTGGACTCCGATATCTCCTCCTCCTCCTCCTCTTCTTCCCCGTCCTCAATCTTCTCCACCAATATCACGCCGTCCGGCACCGGCATCTCCCCTTTCTCCCACTTTTCCTTTATGAGTAACCACTTTTCTTCCTCCGCATTTTCCATCATCGTCGCCTCGTCTCCGTCGGAATACACCTGGACTAACAGCGGCGACTCTGGCAATTTCTTCACGATCTCCGTCACCGACTGTTTCATCCACTCGTCAATTCTATCCTGCGAGTGCAAATTGCTTCGTTTACGCGCGGGAGAGGATTCAAGATTCAATTGACGAGACATTGATGAGATCTTGGATGTCGGGAAGAAGCATTGACGCTGACGGACATTCTGCCTTTGCCTCGGAATTAGTTGGCGAAGATCCGACGCGGGACGGCAGCGGACGGCATGGTTCCCTCCGCAACGAACTCCCACCGACGCCATTGATACAAGTGTCTCTCTTCGATTCAACGGTTTCCCAGGCAAATTAAATTAACACTGTTTGCGCCGGTGGAAATCTGAAACTAAAATAAGAGAGAAGAATTTCGAATTCTGAATTCCGAATTGGAATCGAATTAATTAAGAAATAAGAATAAGAATGATGAGAGTTTGGTGGAGTGGAGGATGGGATTGGTCAAGATTGGTTGTCTCTACGCTACGCTTCCTTTCTCTTTCCTTTTTCCTTATTCCCCACTTCCACAAGGATTTCGTTTTAAAGTTGCCCCTTTTTAATTCCAACAAAATTCTTAGCTATGATTCTCTACGCTTAATCCTACGTTAAAATTATTGCAGTCTGTTCTACACACGTTAAAAAACACTTGTACTACTTTAACCATTTTTTTAAAAAAAATTTTATACTGCATTTAAGTATATATA